GGATGTTCACACAACACTGGCTGTCAGCAGGGCAGCTCAGCCTTTGCTGAGCTGGGACACAAAGCCACCTGCAGCACCACAACTCACAGAGGGCTACAGCCCCCAAAGGGCTGGAAGTACTGGCACAGGGTGCAATAACAGGGTTTCCTCTGGTCCATGGCTCCCACTTCTGGGCCAGCACTTGAGTAAATTACCTATAAACCATTTACCCACAGGGAGCATTTGTGAGCACAAAAGCAGACTTTCAGCAACTTCTTCTCCTTCTCCCCTTCTCCCCTTCCTCCTCCTCCTCCTATTCCTGCTCCTTTTTTGTGCCCTTCCCTCTGCCTGGTTCCTGCAGTCATGATGCAGTCATGATGCAGTCATGATGGAGGCCCTGCTCTCCTCCAGCCTCTGTCAAATGTCCCAAAGGGCCCTTAGGCAAGGGGCGTACCAGGCCTCTGTCCCAAACACTAAGGCCACAGACTGCGGGGCCTGCTGCAAATCTGTGCTGCACATCTCCCTTTGCTGGTTTATTGTCTGCTTCTACAGGCACATCAGTTCCACCTGGCAGGCACTCTGCTGTTGCCAGCTCAGCCCCGTGCCTGAGCAGGGCTCAGATATGGGCTGGACAGATTTATGATTGCAGGCATGAAGCCAGTGCCTGTGTCTGGGTTGTTGGTACCACTTCACCTGGAGCAGGGGGCATCTTCAGGCTAAAAATGTCCTTCCCTCATCCCCACCCTGTGTGGCCTAGCTTCTTGCTTTCCTTTTAGGAGCAAATCTAATCCCCTCACCCCAGGTAGTACTCCGTGCAAAACAATCTTTATTTGGTACCAGGGATCAAACTCAGGACCTTGTGCTTGCGAGGCAGGCAGCAGAATCACTGAACTAAACCCCCTGCCCCAAGTGCAAAACAATCTTTCCCCACCCCCACCCCAATGTCCTGGTCCCTGCCAACCACCTTGGACACGAGGCCCAGTCACCCCCTTCATTTCCTTCTCTAACAAGAATTTTGCTAAGAGCTACTAGAAAAATTAAAATGTCATATTTTGCTTTTGTGGCATTGTGGCATTTAGCCACAGTGGCAGACACCTGGAATCCTAACTACTCAAAAGGCTGAGGCAGGAGGGTCAAATATTTGAGGCCAGCCTGGGTAATTAAGCTCAGTGGCAGAGTGCTTGTCTAGAATGTGTAAGGCTTGGGTTCAATCCCTGGGACTGGAAAAAAAATTTTTGGATCTTATATTTTATGTAAAAAATGGGAAATATCCCACATGTAATAGGAGAAAATGAGACCCAATCTAAATATCTAAGTGGAATAGATATGTTCAGTCATCCTATGGGCAGCCATGCCACCATTTAGAATGATAATATAACTATGATAGACTGAGAGCTAATTTCCTTAATATAGAAAGAGCTTTTACAGCTCAATAGGAAAAGGGTCAACAACCCAATAGAAAAGTGGGCAAAGGACATGAACAGCTTAGGGAAAAGAAACTAGAGGACTTTTTAATTTAATTTTATTTTTTTTTAATTTTTATTTTTTTGGTACTGGGGATCGAACTCAGGACCTTGCACTTGTGAGGCCGGTGCTGGAACCACTGAACTAAATCCCCGGCCCACCTTTTTTATTTTTGATTTGGAGAAAAGGTCTCACGAAATGGCTAAGTTACCCAGGCTGGACTCAAACTTGCCATCCTCCTTCCTGCCTCAGCCTCTGACCGTGCTGGGATTATAGGTGTATGCCACCACATCTGGCTTAAAATTTTTGAATGATATCATAGGTTTTAATTTTTCTTTTATGTATAATTTTCATATTCTTTAGTTTTAAAAATGAGGTCCCATTTTTGTATTTATGCATTACTGCATTAAAAATATGAATAGACACAGGTAGAGAAACACTGGAGATAAATCTAACTAGTACTAGACCGCCTCCAAGGGTGAACCTAATATTTGTGCAGGGCCCTGAGAGTTCACCTTGTCAAATGTCACCAGTGTCCCAGCCAGCAGAGCTGCTGACAACTTTTCTGGAGGGGTGGCCCATGGTGGGCAGGATCGAAGCAGGCAGGATGAGTGAGTCGACTCTCATGTCCTCGGACCTCGCAGCCTCCAGCCCCTAGAAACCCACTAATTTCACACCCTGGTCAAGGTTGCCTCTCATGCCTGGGAGAGGATGACACAGAGAAGAGAGGGCTGGGGCCAGAGGTGGGCAGGAGAACTAAGCTCACCTTCCTGTCCTCCTCCAGAGCTATAGAGAGCTTGGGAGCCCTGTGGGCTTCCCTGGAGAGCAGACTCAGGGTCACCCCAATCTTACAGCTTCCAAGGACTCAGGAAACCCCAGGCAGCATGGGGGTGATGCAATCTTGTTTATTTTATGGGTGACAAAGCACACACATAACTAGTGTGGCTGGCTTCATCACATCAGTGTGGTGTTAGCTGCAGCCAAAGATTCTCCAGAGTCTGCGACAATCAAAGGGGCAAAAGGCTTCCCTTCTCTAGACAGCCTGTATCAACAGCTGAAATGATCAGTTTTTCTCTTTTTGCTTTCAAATCATGTGAGTGTTTCTGCTGCAGACTTAGTTTTAGCTAAATAAATAAACTTTAGACTACCAACCAATTCTTGAAAAAGTAGATCTGGCCAAAAAACTGAAAAAAAAAAAAAAGACAGTAACTTATATCCCGAGAAACCTACAAAAGTTGTGGGCTATTTATTTATTCTGCAGTGCTGGGGATAAAAAGAACCCAAGGCCTTGCACAAGCTAAGCAAGTGCTCTACCACTGAGCAATATCCCTGGGCCCCCAAATTTTGATAGTATATACACTTGTATGCATTTGCTTAATCCTTAGTCCAATTCTCTGTGGCAGGCAGAGGACAGACATTGGGGTCATTTATTAAGTGTGGTAACAGGTACCACAAAGCAAGCAGACTGAAACAGCAGCAATGTGTTCTCTCGAAGATCTGAGGTAGGAAATCTAGGCGTGGGCAGGGCCAGGCTCCTTCCGAAGGCTCTACTGGCATTTGTTGGCTTGTGGATGCATCAGTCCAATCTCTGCCTCTGTCGCATGGCTGCCCTCCTCCCAGTTATGTGCATCCTGAATTCCTCTCTTGAGTTACACTGGATCGAAGCCCATCCAACTCCAGTATAACTTTCTTATAACTGGTTATATCTGAAACAACCCATCATACTTCCAAATAAGATCACATTCTGAGATCTTCCTAAGATTCTAAGATCTTCTAAATGAGATCACACCGGAGGTTGGGAGATCAACAAGTCTTTTCAGGGGACACAGCTCACCCCATAACAGATGGGAGCACACGTAATAGGAAGTTTTGCTACATTCTCCTCAGCGCGGAAAGGGATTGTGTATTGGAGTGCAGTGAGACTAGGGGAGGCTAAGCACACTGTGACCCTCCCTAACCCTTCTGCTGTCAAAGACCCAGGGCTCCTCACTCTTGTGCACTACGTTAAAGCTGACCAAGCACTGGACATACCTCATTTCATTCAACCCATGAAACACTCTATCATGCCCATTTTACAGCTGAGAAACCAAGGTTCCCAGAGATGACACCTGACAAACGCCAGGTGCTGAGGCAGCCCTGGTCTAGCCCAGGCAGGGTGGTAGCCAACCAGCTGTTTCTAGAGTCAGGGCAGATGAGCAGATCTGAGGCAAATCTGGGCTTCCTGCCTGAGAAGAGTATCTAATGGAGAGTCTGTTCAGAGGACCAGGTCATCAGCTTTCCCTCCCGCTCTGCTCCCTGCTGGGAGATCAAGCCCAGTGCTTTATGTATTAATTCATTTTTTGCCATCCTGGGGATTCAGTCCAGGGCCTGCCACATGCTAGGCAAGAGCTTTGCTACTGAGCTCCCAAGCCTAGTATTTTCTTGGGTTCATTTCTCTCTTTGATAGAAGGAAAGCAGTTCAGAAAGATCAAAATCCAAGGTACTGTCAGGGCTTGCCCCACCTTCTGCAAGCCCTAGATTCTAGTAGCCACCCCTCACACTCAAAAAAAAAGCTGGAAATCAAATGGAAATGCAAACCACAAGTAATAACATGACACCCATGTTTGCTCCTGTGATTTATGAGTTATAATATTCCTTAGAAATAATGGAGACCTGACATTAAAGAATTGTTTAGAGCTGGGCAGGGTGATACATGCCTATAATCCCAGTACTTTGGGAAGCTGAGGCAGGAGGGTTCTAAGTCTGAGCCCAGCCAGGACAACTTTGTTAGGCTCTGTCTCAATAAAAGAATAATAATTAATAATTCACTAAAAGCGTTTTGGCTATAGATCAGTGTGAAGGCCCTAGGTTCAATCCTCAATACTAAAAAAAAAAATATTTTAGGGTGTGCTAATGGTACGGTGGCTGTTTGTAAAGGGCTCCTTATCTCTTAATTCATTCTGGAATATTTCCGCTGAGATATTCTGCTATCTGCCATTTGTTTTACACTAAGGGAAAATACACAGCCTGGGGTTGGTCACTATTGAAGCTGCATGATGGATACAGCGCCTTCATTACTCCAAACCAGTGAGTTCATAAGGCTCAGCCTGATTCTATTCCTTCTACTTGGTTCATGTTTGGAATTTTCCATAATAAAAAGTTTTTTAGGCTAAAAAGTCTGAATTGTGCATAATAAGTGTGACTTCTGTGATTCTTTATAAAGCAATGAAAAGTTAAAAAAAAAAAAGCAAGAGAGGGCGACAGGTGACAGGTGGGTGTCAGGGAGCGCCCCCTCATATCTTTTCTCGCCTACCCCCCAAGCCTGGCGACCCCGACCTACCATGTCTGTGACTCACAACTGATTTTCCAAACTGCAGGGTACCAGGCTGCACACTCCCAGGCCACTGCACCCCCACCATGTGTCCATCTGTCCATCCACCCAGCCATCCACCAGCCCCATCCACCTGGCCATAGTACCTCTGGCGTCCCTTACTCCCTTCCTCCCTTCCACGAGCAGAATTTGAACCCTGAGCCCCCCCGCCGCCCCACGTCCAGCCCGGTCCGCAGCCGGTACTCACACACTGCTTGCCGGCTTCTCTTCTGCACGAAACTGAAAGTAGTCGCCAGAGCTGTCGGGCTTGTGCATGGAACCCGCCGCCACTGCCGAGAAATCACGTGGACTTGAGGTGCCAGCCCAGATGCAGGCGGGGCCGGCACACCCGCTGCCCGCGCGGAGCCAGAGGGCGCACAGCAACCGCCCCGTCAGGACGCGACCATCCCGTAGCGGTAGCGGGGACAACCCCGGGAAAGGAGGGACCCCAGCCTCTGTGGACAGAAACTGAGGTAGAAGGGCGCAGACCGGCTCACCTGCTCGGCAGGGGGCTGAGTGGCAGGAAGCCCAGCCCGCTGAGACGCCATTCGCACCTCTTTAGAGCCTCTTCAGAGACAAGGACTGGAGGGAAGTGAGGAGACGCTGCTACACAAAGAGGGACTTGGTGGCCGGGGTCCTGAGGGTGGCTGCAGGTCAGGAGGCAGGGAGGAGGGAATAGCAATACTAAGGCTCAGTTGAGTCCTGGTCCTGCTGACCTGGGATAAACACTGTCCACACCTACATCTCCTCTAATCCTCAGAGTAACTGTAAAACAGACCCCAGCTCTCTCTCTGCACGTGCCCACGAACCCGAGGAGTCCCAGAGCAGAAGGGAAGAGGAGGAAAGAAGAGGGCAGGGGGAGGGATATGGAGGGAGGGGACGGGAGAGGGCAGAAAGGAAGGCTAGAGTCAGGGACAGCCCAACTACTGCTCAGCGTTTGCCCACCACCTCCCCAGCCTTTTGCGCTTGGCCAGGGAGGGTGCTCCCTCCTGCTGCAGGGAACTGACACCTCTGCCTGCTAGGAAGGCTGTCCCCAATCTCTGGATGCCATCCACCTCTGGGACACCACGGCGTCAGACGTCCCTCGTTCATCTTCGCTCTGGTCAAATGGCTCGATAGTCCTGAGCCTCAGTTGTGCCATCTGCAAGACCCAGAGCAGTCATGAGAATGTGGCAACCTACAGTTGAGGCTCATGCAGTCTGTGCCTGAAGCCCAGAAGCCACCCTTACTTTTTTGAACCCTTTTGCAGGTCCTACATCCCTGTGAGGCTCAGCCCTCCTGGCTCCCAGGACCCACCTAGCTATAGAGGAGTGGGGTGGGCGTAGACTTTGCAACTGATTGCTTGTAGTGACTCCGGTTCCACCGGTCCCAGCTGCGTAGCCGCAGGCAAATGCTTTCTGGCCTCCATTTCCCCATCTGTCAGGTGGGGTAATCCCAGCTGACCCTGGCCACTGTGGGACACGGTGTGGAATGGATGAGAATGTGGGCTGTCAGCAGTACGCATGGGAAGGCTCAGTTATGTTGCAGTGTCAGGGTTCAGCTCATGTTTCCTGAGCACCTAGGGTCTGACTGGCCCAGAAAAGGGTCCCAGGGAAGCTCTCCTGCTTCCTGCACAGACAGGGTGGGTAGAGAGACACATGGCCAATAGCCACAAACCAGAGAGACAATTGCAGAACATTCTTAGATGCCTTAAATACTGACCATACCCATGAGGAAGGCAGGACAAAGGTTACTCTACTATTAGATGGATGAAGAACTGAGGTTCAGATAGGTCAGGTGAGTTGCTGAAGGTCACACAGCAGTAAGGAGCAGAGCTGGGTCTTGATCCTGGTGCCCTCTCTACCCTAATGATACGAGGTATGCCAAGAAGTGTTCTGGAGGAATGACTTTCCCAAACTCTCCAGTGCTCAGCCCAGTGTGTGACCTGAGAATCCACCTTAGCTCCTTGTTTGTTTGGCCAAAGGTGCACACATTTCCATGGTGTAAATTAAATGGCCATCAGTTTCACAAAGGCTGGTCCCTGTGTATGAGAACTGACCCCAGGAGCCATGAGACTGCAGGAAGAGGCGGAAGATTCAGGACTGCACAGAGTGTAGTTTATTAAGTTCCTTAGGGACAGCAAGGAAGGCAGATCACATACCCTGAGGGAGGAGGAAGGGTTTATATGTCAAACCTGAAAGGCCCATGGCCTGCTGGAACTTATCTGGTCTTTCTTAAACATTAGTAACATGTTCAAAAACAAACAGGGTGACAGTGGCCAGCACAAAATGCTCATGTTACCAAATTAATGCCTTTGCCATTGGGATGCATCCCAGGCTTACTTGGTGGCACAGTGGCTCCCAGGGACAGTGCTCCCCTCCTCCTTGAGGCCTGGTCCGAGTTCCCAGGCCCTTGTCCTGCCAGGCCCAGAAGCCCAGGTGGTAGGATATGTGCCACAGGGTGCATCCTTGGGAATCCCTCATTTGTTCCCTGGGGCAAACAGCAGTACAGGCTTCTCCCGGGATCAGACTCTAACTGGGTCAGGCCAGCACCTCCCCTGGATCAGGAGGACTTCCTGGTCTTTTGAGGAGGGCCTAGGCCAGAGCTTCTGGGCTTGCATGACAGGAACAGGATGTGGCACAGGGGTCTTGCAGGTTGGTCCTGCTCTGACAACCTCTGCCCTCTGGGACTCCCCAGCACCTTCTGCTTCTTGCTCCCTTGGCGCGGTATAGTGACACATAAGTGCCATCCCAGCTCAGACCTGGGAGACACTCTCTAAGGATAGTGAAGGGAGCTGGGGGAGGCACCACCCTTCCTCTCTGGAGCAGGGATGAACCCCAGGGCCCTGGGGGGTTTGTAAGGGTGACACTCTCAATGACCTCTCTGTGTGCCCCTAATGATGGTGAAAGTTTCTGTTCAAGGAAGGAGCTGCTAGGGCTGCCAAGTTCTCCTGCTATTGTCCTTATGATATCAAGGAAGGGTCTTGGGCCTCTCTACCTCCTCAAGAGAGTGCTTTCGGGTGCAGGGTGGCTTCTAACAATGTCACCACCTTGAAAGCTAATATTGCAAGGCCTGGGATTCCCAGACTGGTCTGGGATTGGTGATCTCTTTCTGCCAGGGACCCTTTATGAGCCACCTGCCCACCCCCACGATGTTCCTGGTTGGCCTCTTGAATCAGATCCTTGCTCTGGGCTCAGAGGGAAGAAGAGAAACAGGCCTAAGAGGCCCTTGCAGTGGGCATGGAGGCTTTGGAAGGAACCTGGCTCAGAGGATGATGCCCTCCCTGGCAATCTTTTAAACCTGAAGGACTATCCCACTACCAAGTGTCACCTCGGACCTTGCCTCCCAGCTGATACAGTAAAGGCCAGGCCCCCTTTGCCCCTCACTGGTGTGGGCCCTGCCTGTTGGGTTGGCCTCACCTCTCCACTTTTCCTTTCTTTTCTCTTTTCTCTGCCAGCATCCTTGATTTCTTGAATCTATCATGACTCCCTCTACCCCATGGATTTTGCACATGCCAGCATCTTGTTATGTGTCTTAGTCTGTTTCCTGCTGCTATAATAGGACACCTGAGACTGGGAAATTTATAAAGGAAAGTTTCTGGAGTCTGGGAAGGTCAAGAGCACGGTGCTGGAGAGGGACTCATGCGGCTTCAATTCATGCCAGAAAGCCGAGGGGTGAGCACATGAAAGGAGCAAAGCACACAGGGCAGCCTTGTTTTATAACAACCCGCTCTCACAGTAATAACCCCGTCTCGAGAGGTTGGGAACTCACTCTGGTGAGAATTAACCCAGTCCCTGCAGAAAGTCATTAATTTCTCTTAATGATCTAATCATCCCTCAAAGGCACCTCAAAGGCACTCCCACAATGGGAGTCAAACTTCAACATAAGTTTTTTTTTTGGGGGGGGGTGCAAACCCCATTCAGCCCATAGCACTATACTTTTCTTCACCCCACTTGGCTAAGGTGGTGGGAGGGATTTTCTCCACACACCTGGAGAAAGAGCCTGGTGCTCCCAAGACTGAGATGCTGTAGCCTGGGCTGGGGAGGAGAGGAAGGCTGGAGTGCAATAAAGTGGGCTGGGAATATGCTCGTGGGATGCTTCTCTCCTGCAAGAAAGCCACACTGATTTGCCTTCCTGAGGCTGCATCCTCCTCTTCTCCTACCAGAAGCCAGACCTCTGGAGTCCCTCACTTTCCCTGCCCTCCTCTTTGTCAGCCTCACTTCCTGACCAGTGCTGGAACCCCCTGGGGCAGACAATGAGTCACATCCTTGATTCCGGCTCCTGCAAGAAGCTGCTCAGACAAGGAGAGGAGACCATTAACAGTGGTGGGGCAGAGGGTGGAAGGAATTCAGTGTTTTGGGGGAGAGCAGAGGTGGAGTCTAAGAGATGCTCCCTTCTGACCACCTGCATCTGGGACACTGGAGAGAATACAAAATTATCTGAGATGTTTGACTGATGAGTGAAGTGCATTAATGAGTCAGTGCCCTGAGGAGTGAATAAGTGAATGGGTAATGTTCCTGGACCCAAACTGCTGTCTCCTCTGTCTCTAGCATTCTTCGTTATGTGGTCACTGGCAAACTCCTGCACAGTCTTCAGGATGCGGCCAAGGGTCCTCTCCTCCACTGGCCACTGGAAGGAGGTAAGAGGGTGTGTTTACAAGTGCTAGCTGATTGTAGAAACTGCCATTGCTCAAGGTGCCCTCCCTCCTGAGGCCCAGCCAATCAAGACTTTGGGTCTTGGGGGGAGTGGAGCATCAGGAAACCAGCTGGGATTGAGGGTCCCATAGGTGCCCCCTGATGATACTGCTGTGTCTGGGTTGTGCCCTGGGATCCAAGCCTGGTCACAGCCTTCCACCTGCCCAGCCTCCCCAGGCTGCTCCAGATCCCCACACATCTTCCCTCTTTCAGTTTGCCCTGGGGCTGAATTCTGTTGTTTGCTCCTGAAAACCCTAATGGACACATCACCTGTGTCTCAGCCACATGATGTCTTGAAAAGACCTGGGCCTGCTGGGTTAAGAGTAGTGCACATGGGTAGCTGCTGTGTGAACTTGGAAAACAGTTGTAGCTGGGTACGGTGGAGCACGCCTGTAATCTCAGCATTCTTGGGAGGCTGAGGCAGGAAGATTGCAAGTTCAAACAGTATGGGCACTTAATGAGACCCTATCTTAAAAAAAAAATTTTAAGAAAATCCTGGGTTCAATCCCAAGTCCTGGAAAAAAAAAAAAAAGAGAGAGAGAGAGTTGCTAGTAGAGGCTGTGTAGGTGATAGGCAGATTCTCAGACGAGCTCGCCTTGATGTAGTCCTGGAAGGGTGAGGGCGCGCTGTAGGGCTTCAAGCAGGGGCCACCTGCCAGAGAAGTAGCTTGTTGGGGCTGTTCAGCAAAGCGGGTAGCTCTGGTGTAGCAAGGATAGGGGTGTGGCTGAGAGGGGTAAATTGTAAATAGTTTGGAAGGTACTCAGGGGCCGGCCAGGCAGAAGCTTGAATCCCGAGGTGAGCAGTTTGGATTTCTCCTCCAGCTGTGAGGAGCTTGCAGGGGTTGGGAGCAGCCACGGAAGGGCTGAAAAAGGGTGGACACCAGGGTGGATTTGCCAGATTCACCCAGTAAGAGGGCAGGGTGGGCAAGACCTGTCCTTTCCTGGCCCTGTCCCGTGTCCCCCCATTCACAGAAGTACTGTACCTTCCAGTTCCTGGATACGGCACTTTAATGTCAGTGCCCTTTAGGTCAGGGAAAAATTGGGAGGCAGTCTCTACTCCCTACTGCACCGACTCCACTGGGATGGAGGGAGATGCCAGAGTTCTCGTGTGCCTTGCAGTTTGAGCTCCATCCCAGCCTCTGGGGCTCCTAGCTCAAGCTCTGGAGGAAATCCACCAGCAGATGCTCAGGGAAGCCAAAGTCCATCTGCAGCAGCAGAGAGCCCTGGGAGGGGTGGAGGTGAGAGGGGCAGGCTGGGCTGGCTCCTAGGGCACCAGGAGACAGCTCAGGAAGCCCCCTGCATGTGTCTCCGACAGCCACCAGTCATGAGAGAATGCTGCCTGGGGCTCTCACCCAGGAGCCCAGGCTGATGGGAACTTTATACTCACATCCTGAGTGATGATCTCAGGGTTGATGAGGTCAAAGAAGTGTAGGCCTTTGCTGTTCATGAGAGCTGTGAGTGCCACCTGGAGCCCTGGGGCGGGGAAGGAGTCTGTCAGCCCTTCTCAGGGAGCAGGGCCAGTCCAGTGCTATGACACCCTGGGCAGTGGAAGATGGTGGGACTGAGGTTCTTGGCCACATGGTTAACAGTAAACTGAATCTACCCTGCTTGGAAGGATTGTGGGGAACAACTGTCACTCCCCATGACCTGGTAGTCACTCCTCCCCCGTGGAGATTCTCCCAGTACTCTTTGCAACCAACCACACAGAGCGGTCTCCCCAGATACCTGGTTTAATCACCTCTGTAGTTTTAGTGCCAGGCTACAGATGGGAGACTGAAGCTGGGAGAGTCCAAGACACTCACCCAGGATCATTCCTGCTTCCACAAGAATACCAAAGCCACACAAACATGCAAATACTCAAAATGAAGACCTGGCCACCTCAATATACCCAGTGGGGAAGGGAGAAAAGGCTTTCAGCAGGACCTTGTTCAAAATGCCTCTGGAACACCCTAGTTATGGGGTCTGAAATTCCACCAATAGAGTGGCTGCATATGGACAAATATCCACCAGTATCAGGGGCCAAAGGGAACTTGAGTATCATCAGGTCTGACCCTCTCATTCTATAGTAAAAACAAAAACAAAAACCCGAGGCTCAGAGTTGAGCTATAACCAGGTCTCAACCTTTCAGTTGGCTGTCATTAGGAGACCTCAGCCCTTAAAGTGGATTGGGCCCTAGTGGGGTGGCAGAGGTGATATTGTCAAGATAAACCAGAACCAGAGGTCTGTGCATTGGTGTTCATTGCACCAATAGGGAGCTGGGCCTTGAGGGAAAGGACCCAGGACCCATAGGTGTTGATGGCTGGGTGATCAGAGGCACTAGGGATCCTGCCTGGGAGGGGCCTCTGCACTGGGCAATTCAAAAGGGAGAGAAGGTGAAGTCAGAGCTCCATCCCCACCCACACCCCAAGCCCACACTTACGAGACATGACCTCAGGGATGCCCACCGTGGTGATCAGCGACTGCAGGAAGCTCCGGACAGCCTCGGAGCAGCTCTGCCAATCAGAGGTCCACAATGAGTGACCCACAGGGCAGACAGCCACACAGCCTGGGTGAACATTCACCCCCATGCCATGAAAAAGTAATCCTAACCTAGCCCTCTCCTCCTGCCCCCCAGACACTGGCTCTCCTGAATGGTCCCTCCAGACCCCAGGGAGGGCTAGGGTTGTTATCTCATTCCCAGAAGTCCAAGGAGAGGCCACGTGGCCTGTACTGCTCCCCATTCATAGTGCTATGATCCCGTTTCTGGGACACAAAGGCAATATGTCTCCCAATAGACATATTGGGGAGAAGGGTCACAAGAGACATGGAGGGACCATCTGATTTAATTTCTTTTGGTCTCACTGCCTGATTTCCTTTAAGGCCTCCTGCTCTCTTAAGTCATGAAGCCCAACAGAGCTTATTTCTCCCAAGACTACCTACCTCAGCCTCATTGGAAGCAGTCTTTGGTGTAATTCTGAAATAGAAGAGAGGTGAGAATTTGATCCTTTCCTTTTTTTTTTTTTGGTACCGCAGATTGAACTCAGGTCTTTTTGCTTGCGAGGCAGGTGGCGGAACCACTGAGCTAAATCCCCGGCCCTTTTTGACCCTTTCTTAAGGAACTCTGGGAATGGTTCTCAGTGTTTCTGATGAATCCTTTTATTCTTAGTGTTCCATTTGGGGGGACATAACAATGAAACATAATAAAAATTTTTCTCTTCAAATTCTTGTTCTTTGAATTTTTCTGGGTAACAGATATGAATTTCATGCAAAAATTTTAAAAATTGCAACCTTTGGCCACATCTCCCAGGGCAGGGAGATAGCCTGGGCCAGGTGTCTGGGCTGATGGCAGATGTAAACAGGTCCAGGGACGGGATAATCCTTCCAGGCCTTGAAATGGGAAGCCTTTTTGAAGCCTCTGGAGACTGGTCATTCCAGCCACCAGGCCCTGCCCAGGTCCTCCGTCCATTCCCAGGCCCACTTCCTCCTTGGGGGCAGTGTCTTCTTTCCCTGTAGCGAGGCTGTAATCCTGGAAGGAAGGGGAAACATCTCCCCACTAGGACTAAGCCCTGTGCCTGACCCCAGGGGCTCGGGAGAGCTTTGCAGAGCTGATCCCCCACCCCTCTCTGCAGCACATACTGGAAATCCAGGAGGCTTAAGAAGAGCTTTTTCCGGGAATAGGAAGCCTGGATGGTAGTGATGATATCCTGGGGAGAGAAACCAGATTTTCTGCAAGCTAGGGGTCTCCCTGGAGCTGAGGGCAACCCCCCCTGCCCAGGCCTCTCAAGTGCACTGAACATTCGGAGAAGTGTGAGGAGCAGTGGATCCCACGGAATCTTGGGATCTAGCTGAGCTATTCATCATCTGAAAACTGGGAGAAAGTGGGAATGTGGCTCAGTTGTAAGACACTTGCCTAACATGCTTGAGGCCCCAGCTTCCATTCCCAGCATTGCAAAATACATACATATGTGTATCCATACACACACACACACACACACACACACACACACACACACACACACACGAGAAATAAGGAAATTCCCCAGCACCAGTGACTTTGGGCTTAGGACCTGAGAAATCACATGGGCATTTCCTCTCCTGGTTTCTGACCTACCCACATTGTGAGTCTCCATGGAGCCAGACTGTGGGCATGGCTCACATTCCCTGCCTCCAAAAGGAAGCCGCCACACAAGCAAGGAGAGGCTACCTGTACTGGCGGCTGGATTTATCTGTTTTCACATTCTGGAGACCAAATACACTAGATTGCTGCTGCTCTAGGTGTGGCCTTAAGCCAGCGGCTTCTGCACCAGCCAGTAGGAGCCTGTTGGAAATGCAGATCCACAGGCCCTGTCCCAGACCTGCAAACAAGACCTGCGGCTGGCCAGAAATTTGTGCTTTGACAGCCTGCCTCAATGACACTGACCCCGCGGCACCAGCTAGCCCTCAAATATCCTCTGTATGTTGAGTTCAGTTTCATATGCACCTTCCTTGACCACATATTTTTATTTCATAGCACCGGGTAAAGTTAGAGGCTTCATAGTCTTTGTTTAGCTAGTTAGTTACTATTTATCCTGACTATTTATGAGATCAAGAATTGTATGGCTTGGGCCCAAAGTAAGAACTCAATAGATATTGCTGATAATGAATGACTAAGTGCATCTACTGGGCATGCAGAAACTATAGACTTCGGTATCCATGTGATGTGTTACCTTGAATGTCGCATCATGTCCTGTTGGTTCTGGAGCTCCCTCTGTTCAGGTGGAGAGGTGGCCACTCTGTCCAGGGCTCCGTTTAATGACTGCAGTGCGGCCATCCTGTGCCAGCACTGACCTGCCATCTCCCACCCCTGCTGTGGCTTCCACTTCTTCTTTTTGGCCCGACAGCCTCAGGAGTAGTATCAACACACCTCCAGCCTAACCTGCAACTGCATCAGCCCCAAACAACCCACACTGGCATTGCCCCATCCCCGGCCTTGTTTACATCTGCCATCAGCCCAGACACCTGGCCCAGGCTAGCTCCCTGCCCTGGGAGATGCGGCCAAAACTCTTTGGCAAAGTGTCCTGGGGGACATAAGTTCCTAAAGACCACTGACTGATGTACACATCCAAGTTCACGAGCAAGAAGGAAAGTCTGTAGGAGCCCGGACACTGGAGAAGTCAGGGTGACATGAAACAGGACATTGGGGAGGAGGGGCTTTGATAGGTGTTTGCTGCAGTCTGACAAAGATTCTTTCCTTGACCCAACTTCAGTCTGACTCCAGAATCCAGCTAGGACCATCATGTATTTCCCTATAAAATCTAGTTTTAGTAAGAACCCTGCTACCTCAGTTTAGCAAGAATCCCCATCCCCAATGTCCAGTCACTTCATATCTGATCAGTTCCCACATTTTCCACCATGCCTTAGGTGTTACGGGGTTATCCTGGCCCATCTTCAGCTAGAATACTGTTGGGTTGGTTTAGCTAGAATCTCCACCCCTGCCAGGTTTCCTCTTAGTACTTTTGCATCCACTAACCCCACCCCCTTCCCCTGGTCCTTGACTATGGATCCCACTCACCCAAGCTGCACTCAGAGCTGAGCCCGGTGTCTCCCACCCCACCACTCACCACCTTCCCACTGCAAGTCCCACTGCAGCAGCCCCATCTTTATGGCCATGGTCCCAAATAAACTTTACCTGACTGAGATTTAACAAGTGTCATTGAAATGTTTTCCTTAACAAGTACTCTGAACTGTTCAGATCCTTAAATAACAAAAGCAGTAAATAAATAAAATAGAGGAAACTTTTAAGTTTTTCAAAAAGGTAAATCCATGTGCTCTCCTGGATGGAATCTTGGTGCAGACGAAGGAGATCAGTGAAAAGACTCGTGAGACTTCATCAAGCCTGGAGTTTGGGTGCCTGTGATTTACCAGTGTGAATCTCTTAGGACCCATAGAGTGTGGTTCTGGGAGATGGTAATTATAGGGTAGATCAGGGGAGATGCATATGGAAACCTCTGTCCTATCTTTGTAGCTTTTATTCAGATCTGAAATTATTCTAAAATTAAAAGTTTATAAAAATAATAAACACCAAAGGAAATGTACCCCAGTGGAGCCCTGGGCATGGGGATTAGCAGGATCTGGAGTTTACCACAATGTCTCTGTGTTAGTTCTGTCTTTAGTTTTTAACGTATTAAAAAATATTAAAAGCCGGGTGTAGTCACATATGCCTGTAGTCCCAGCACTTGGGAGACAGAGGCAGGAGGATTGTCGCGCGTTCAAGGCCAGCCTGAACTACAAAGTGAGACCTTGTCTCAAAAAAAAGAGAAAGAAATATTGAAGATACTTATACAGAAGAGCATTAGGAATCACAATGATCCATAATTCCTTATTTACAGTTACAAAATCAAATGAACTCTTTGTTCCTTTTGTTCTTTGTCATTGTTGTTCATTGGCTTTTTAGAGTTTTTGACAAAACCTTGCTATGTGGATGAGAGGCTTTGTGTAGTATATTTATCTTGCTTTGTGTGAATATTTGTATGTGGAGAAATGTCAGTGGGCTTGGTTGTGGGGCCATCCAATCCTATCTGGGGTGATCAGCAACATGTCCCGCATGCACACACAATATCTGGGTGTTGTAAAATCCACAGCATCTGAATTTGGGAAGCTATGTGACCCTAATATCTATGGATGGAGGGTTTTGGACTTTTGTGACAAACATTTGTGTCCCACCACTCAGCTGAAAAAAGAAAACGTTACTAAGCCCATCAACACTTTCTGTGTACTCTTATGGGTTGAGTTATAGGATCTTGAGGACCATGACCTATGTGTAAGAAACAGCCAATCATAGCAGAGGTGGGGAGAAGAATCTGGAGTTGTCAGAGGCCTCCAAACCCCTGACTCAGATGGCCTATCTGCACCTGGGTCCCCTGCTCCCAGCCTCCCCCTGTATCCACCTCACCTCTTCAAAAGTGTGAGCCACTGAATGTTGCCCATCTGGGTGTGGGAAGAGGAATTTGACCATCACAGAACTGACAATGATGCCCTTGTTTTGACAGGAGATCCTGGGCCTCGTAAGGCAATGGACGGTTACTTGGGTCTGGCTAGGAGGGAAGCTGCTGAAAAGCTGTGGGAGACAGAGGTCCCGGGGCCAGGATTCAGGCCCATCAGAAAGGCTGCAGCCACTGCCCTCAGAGATGGGAGGGCTGAAGCTGATGTAGGCCCTGGGGCTGAGGCAAGAGGAAGTAGCTTGGGGTAGTGGCTGGGGCCAGGCTGGGCTTGGAGACTCTGAACCCTAGGCTGTGCCATATCTCTAATTTGCCAGTGACTTGACAAACTGGGACTCTTGCTCTCTCTGGACCTCATTTTTCTTGTCTGTACTGTATTGAAGCTACCTCTGCTCTGCCTACCTCAAAGGGCATGGCAAGGATGCCTTTACTTAGCCTTCTGTGCCTCACCTTCTTCCCCTGTAAAATGGGGATAGAAGCGTACCTGCCTCATAGGATTGTTGAGGGGTTGAACAAGATAATACATGTAAAGAGCTGAAAACAGGCCCTGCTACATGGGAACCCTCCAACAGATGCGGCTGTGCCTTCTAACAATGTCTACAGGGACCTCACAAGGCTGAAGCCTTGGGCCAGGCGAGGGACACAGCAGAGAGCCAAACAGACGGAGTCTCTACCTGCAAAGCTCATTATCAGAGAATTTCAGAACTAAAGGAAAAATTGTATTCTGAGGAGTATTTTAAAGAAGAAATAGACCCAGCTTTGGTACAAGAACCCTCAAGAGGTGGTGGGAGAGGTCTTTCCTGAGGATGAGGAGGAATCGATGGGAAAGGGTGAGGAAAACCCTCCGAGCAGAGGGAATAGCCTGGCAAAGGTGATGTGGAAGAGCAGGGCCAATGCAAGGACAGGCAGGCAGTGGGCAGGGCTGAGTATGGTCTGAGGTCAGCTGGGCAGAGCATCAGGTCTGCAGCCTGAGGGGCGGGCTCCAGGGAGCTCTCCTTACAAACCATGGGACCAATGGGTGCCTTCTGACAAAAGGTTTTAATTAATACCTAGCTGAGGTCAAAAGAAAGAAAGGGACAATCCCAGGTCCAAGACATGAAAAGCAAACTGAAAGCCACAACTGTAAGCAAGATAGCCCAGAGAGACGAGAAGGATGTGGCTTCAGGCCACACTGCCCTGGGGTTTGATGCTCACACATTAAAAGTGGATCAGAAGTGGAAATAAGAAATAAGACAATTCCCCCTCAAGAAAAGGAGTAGGGATGAAGAGTGTAAATGAAAAACTTAAATGGGGATACATCCAGACTAGTGAACGGTGCAACTTTTGTGTTCCTAGCAGAAATAAATGCAAAACTGTCCTCTTAGGAACTTTAGATAATCCAGAGAGCAGTCTGTCCACAGAAAAGCCACATTCCACTAAAGGTGAGCTTACAAATAGACAGAAATGACAAACGACACAAGGGAGGCATCCATCATGAGCGCTAACTAGAAAGTACAACAAATAAGAGGTAAGTACCCCTAAGAATTAGCCATGACGGAATAACTTGGAAGTTTTTAAAAATAATGATTAAAGAAGTAGACTACTAATGAAATGACAATATTAGGGGTGGGGAGAGAAGAGCTAGATTTGACAATGAACTAAATGAAATTACTATAAAATAAGTGTTATTGGTAGTCAAATGAAAAATTCGGAGGATGAGTAAACAGATAAGATATAGATATAAAAAGAACCAATAAACTGAAAGAGATCCAGTGGACCCTCAAGGTACGACTGGCCTGACATATGAATCACTTGGGTTAATTAGGTTAATGGAAGATTCATCTGCTTGTTATCCATAGCACGTACCCAGGTAAACATCCAGATATCAGTTGTATTGACTTAAGGCCAACTTGAGTTACAACCAGCCCTTGGAAACCAATTAAGTTCATAAGCTAAGGGTTCACTATATTTGCAGAAACTATCTAGAATTTTGCATAGACATATAAAGACATAAAAAAAAAGACAGAATAACTAACTGTAGACATAGGAGAAGGAATGAGGAAGTCCTAATAGCGAAAGAGGTAAGAAGAGAGCAAGGAGAAGAGAGGCAATAGCTGAAGAGATGGCAACTAAGAAATTTCCAGAGCTGATGAAAGCATCAACACTTAACACTAAACAATTGTGCCGGGTACAGAACAACTAGACTGAGAGGTAGACAAGGGCCAGACACTGCAGGATGCTGGATACTATGCCAGAGAACTTTGCCTCTATCCTTAGAACTTTATCCTCTATCCTTGATGAGTTTTAACCTGGCAGGTGAGGCATCAGTTTTGCTTCTTGAAAAGATTGTTCTGGCTTCCATGAGAAATAGGAGGTGTTGGGATGCAGGGAGATCCACTAAGGGGGTGCAAATAAATTTCCACAAGAGACAATGGTAGCTGGGCCTGGGGATGAAGGTAGAGACTGAGATAAGTGGACGACTCTAGAGTAGTGAGGACACAAGAGGTCAAGGGAATGCAGGCCAGAGTTGCACACCTGGAAGAAGAGAGAGGGACATACAGGGCTGGGAAGGCTGGGAGGGTAGATGGGAAGTTCAGAAGGGAAGTGGGCATCCTGTAGACCAGAAGGAAGGCCACAGGGCGTGCGTGAGGGGAGGGCTGGGAGCAGGAAGCGGAGGGAGAGGTGCTGTGGGAGGCACTGCCCAGCTCCCTGGGAAGCAGTGTGGTGTCAGTTCCTAAATTTGTGGAGAGGGAGGTAGTGAGAAGATGGGGGCGGGTGGCAGCTGGAGACTTGAGGACTGAAGATGTCAATGCAGGGAATGGGAGTGAGCTGGCCAGAGGGTCATTTTACCCAGAAAGGGCTAGGCCCTTTGAGCTCAGGGACCATGGGCTCTTAGTGGAACTAAGAAGATCACTGAAGAGCAGGATCACAGGCATCACTGCCTCCAGGCAGAGCACACAGGGCTGTGACCCCCAAGGAGCCAACCTGAGGTGGGCTTTGGGATCAGGAGTCGCCCGCAGCACATCCTATGGCTGGGGCCCACTGAGCCTGGTGGTGATCACATAGTCTTTGGTGCCATCACAGCTGGCACAGCCCAGCCCTGCCATTTCCTAAGTTCCCCAAGTGTGAGATGGGGTCATATCAGTGCCTCGCTGTCAGGGTGGTTGTGAGTGCAGAGGGAACTGATGCTCAAGAAGCGCTGAGCTCAGAGCCCAAAAGGCCTTGGTTACTGTGATGTCACTGCTGCTGGGCTGGGCTGGGTGGGGGCTCCTGCAAGAGCAGGATGAGGGTGCACAGATAAACCCTGATCAGCAGGGCAGTTACCTCTGCAAAGGTTTCCTGATTGATGTTCAAGGCCTGGGTCTCCAGTGCTGCCTAAAACAGACAAAGGGTGAGTAGGTCATCTTCTGGACACTGCAAGTACCCACCCTGACCCCAACTCCCTAGAAAAGATCTGAGGTCTTCTGGGCAGGGCGTGAGTCAGGGAACCTCTGATCTTGCTGGAGGCCTGGCTTCTGCTCCTTGCTCTGCCACACCAGGCGGTGTGACCTTGGGGATACACAATGGCAGGCATGAACTAGAAACCACCTAATAATTTATGGTTTTGCAAAAGATGAAGAGTGCAGGGTTTGGAGCCTCCTCTTTTAAGCTGTGTGGTCTTGAGCAAAGTTACCTACCCTCTCTGAGTTTGGCTGTGGTTTTGTTTTTTGAAAAATGGAGATGCAATAGTACCTATCCCAACCGGGTAAGTACAGCAAAGATAAATGTAGTACAAATATGAATAGCAGCTTGCATTTATTTCACAGTTACTATGTGCCAAGCTGTATCTACAGTTACATCTGCCTATCTATCTATGGATCAGTGATGTCTCTCACCCATCACACAGTGGCCAGTAGATGCTGGGCTGTAGTATAATGGCTACTTCGTAGACAGTCCATGGCTCCTGTGCTCACCACCCACAGTTTCCTCCATGCTTCCTGCAGGTGTGCATGCACACCACATGCACACATGCATGTCCCAGCAGCACTGCCCTCACCTTGAACTTCTCCCCCATCAGGCTGAGCATGAGGTGGCCATCCTGGAAGGTGGCCTTGGCAAAGGAGTCCAGGACTTGCTCAGAGAACCAGAAGTAGAGCATGCGGGAGTCCCCCAGCAGTGAGGGTGAGAAGGTAGGCAGGACGAGGTCCTCCGAGATGCTTTTGTAGATGAAATGACCCTGCAGGAAACCGGGACAATGGCTGCCCTTTCCAATGTGTCTCTGATGGGCCCAGAGGCCAGCTTCAGAGAGACAACAAGGACCCCGGAAAGCATCCAGCTCAGAAGACAGGCTGGAAACTGGGAAAGAGCTGCACTCGGTTTCCTCCCACCTGGGCCTTCATTCATTCAGCAATAGATGGGTTCCAAGCGCTGCAGTGTCCCCAGCACCGGTCAAGTGACGTGAACCAGAAAGATGTGGTCCCCACCCTCACAGGCTGACATTCCAGCAAACATGGCAGACCAAGGGCCTCTATGCTTTCACCTGGCCCCGCTGACCACCAGCCCTGCATCTTCAGTCCCAGGCAGCCAAAGTCAAGAAGGCAAACCATGGCCCAATTCCCTCCCCTCCAACATTAGTGAGCCTGAGGCTTATGAAGGGGCTTCATGAGCACTCACGAACCCCCTGAAATGTTCCTTTTCCTACTTTTCTGGGCACAGGCTCCAACACAGAGATGGCTGGCTGTCTCTACAGTTTGTTCTCCTCTCAGAGTTCTGTAGCCCCCAATTCTTAACTGGGCTCATGGCTGCCTGGAAGAAATTCCTCAGCACCCCCTGCAGCTCAGGGTGACCACCCTGGTCAGACTACGGGATGGGAGCAGAGTGGGTGGTCAGGTCAGCCACACAATGCATAGAGCCTGTGAGCCTGACACCATGAAGCCACCAAACCTATCCTGTAGGTGATGCAGGTTCAGGCTGATTTTCAAGGGAAACAAAAATCTATGGGTTTAAGGTATTCTTCTAGTGGGTCTCTAAGTTCTAAGTAACAGAGAATCGAGAACTTTCATCAGATCCCCCAAAGGGGGCTTGGATCCCCCAAAGACTGCTATGGAGGATGATGGAAGCCAAAGAAGCCTTCTAGAAAGGAGCTCATGCTTGGCTGGACCCTCGGAGGTCAGGAAATGTTCTGCAGAGGTGTGGCAAGGGAACACTTGGCTTCTATGGAGGCAGGTGGCCAGGCCACAGGTAATGACCTAGCCCGAGAAACTCCCAGGGAGCCCCTGCCCCACCTTCCCACCACACGCACCTTGCGATGGGACTCCAGATAGGTGGCTGTGATGACAGACAATCCAGTCAGGGAGATGTCCACCCCATGTCTCCATCGGAGAGGATGTTGGCTGTGGCAGGGGAGGATTGAGGTGGAGCCTCCCCCTACAATTTGTGCCCCAGTCTGCAGCCCTAGGGCTCTCCTTTGTAAGGTGGGTCCTAGAGCGTGGGATGCACATTTTCATTATTTTTCTCCTCAGCTTCGATCCAGCTGGGTGGTTCCATCATGCCAGGGCCCTCTGGAAGACTGGTTCAGAGTCAGAGATCCAGAGTCAGAGTAATCCTAGCTCCCTCGCTGAACACCTGTATTGTGTCCTCACCTCCAATGATAGTGTCTCCCTCAGGGCACATAGTTATGGGATCAGTTGTGAAGAGGGGGTGAGCAAGTACCTAACAAGGGGAGCAATTCTAATGATCAGTTCTCTCAGACTCAACTCCTTAGTTGGTCCTGAGTTCTAGAATCCAGGACTGGAGCTATCAAACATTTTCTATAAAGGACCAGACAATAAGCACTGTAGGCTCTGAGGGCTCTCATTCCATGACTTGGCTCTACTTTTTTTTGGTACCAGGGATCAAACTCAGGACCTTGTACTTGCGAGGCAGGCAGTGGAACCACTGAGCTAAATCCTTGGCCCACTTGGCTCCACTTTTGCTGTTCAAAAGCAGCTGCACACAGTCCAAGGCTGTGTTCCAATAAAACTTTATTTATAAAAGGTGTGATCCTGGTACAGACCAGCGTGAGGGCTGGAGAGCAGCGTGGGAGTGTAGGGCCCTGCTCCTGCCTCTTCCCTCAAACCTGCAACAGAATCATATCCTTGGGTAACCCCCTGGGTCTCCTGATGACCCCAAGGGACAAGCAATAGCAGTGGGGAGAAGCAGAGTGCATGTTACCCAAGAAAACAGCTGCCCTTGTCCCTTCCTGTGCTGCTCCTCTGCTCGGGCCAGGAGCCTAGAGGCCTGCCATGGTCCTGGTACTGCCTGGGGTCTCCCCTCCCATTACTCCACTAAAGTCTCCTACCCACGTCTTTGCTGTCCTCATTGCCTCTGTTTGCTGAGCACCTACTATGTGCCAGGGAATCAAGACCAAACACATGCCCTCAGACTAGCAAGAGAAGTTCCAGTGTAGTCCAGTTGCTGCTTAGGAATGGTTAGATGCCTGGGTTCAGATTCCTTTCAGCCCCATAATTTCTTTTTCTCATAAGTAAAATGAGGATAGCAGTACCTTCTTCTCTGAGTCATCACAAGGATGCTGTGTCAGGTGAGTGCAGTGTTTGGTAGCTAGTAGATTCTGTTAGTATTGTGGGGCAGGACAGCATGGCCCACTTCTCCCAGGACCTTCTCTTGTCTTCTGTATCCCTAAGGAATGTTCCCATTGGACAGACAGCAAAACCAAGTCCCGAGCTGTCCCTTCTCCACTGCACAGCCTTGTGAGAGCTCCCCCAGGCTGATCAGAAGATGGGGAGAGGCTCCAGGTGGGCAGGGGATCTCTCTCTCCATCTCTACACTGCCTTCTCCTTCTGAGCTTCCACTGACATTCGTGGCTGCCTACATTGTAGTTGATGTTAGGTTTGGTGCTATGGGAATTGGGATGCTGATAATTCTAGTTATGGTAGAAGGGCTGGTGATGCCCCACGTACTGTCTTATGCTTCTGACATACATTTTCCACTCACTTGTCACAGCTGCCCTGTGGGGCAGGTGCTATCACCCTACTGTTTTCATTTTTTTTGGTACCGGGGATCGAACTAGGGTCCTTGAATCTGCACAGCAGGCGGCGAAACCACTGAGCTAAATCTTTGGCCCACACCCCACTTTTATCCATAAAGAAACAGATTCAGAGAGGTTAAGCGACTTGTCCCAGGTCACACAACTTCCAAAGGGAAGTGACTTGCCATAGCCTGACCATAAGTAATCACCAAGTGTCAGAGCCAGACAGGAGCCACTGGGGGCATGACTGTCCCAAGACCCTATGGTGACATGGGCAACTTTCTGCTCCCATTGCTGTCTTCAGAGGTACCCAGACCAAACTCACTAGCCCTGGACTGGACAAAGTCAGCCATGATGTTGGAGATGACATTGATCTCTTTGCAGATCTGGGGAAGACAGGAAAGGTGCCTCACCAGGCAGGAAGGCAGGCCAGAGAAGAGGCCAGGTAGTGCTGCCCTTGGGACCCCGGACCACAGGTGGGTCTGCTGGCCTTGCTCACCTGTCCCTTCAGGGCCAGCTTCAGGGTGAAGGAAATGAAGTTTGTGAACAGCCGCTTGATCCACCTGGGCCTGAAGTGAGGAAGCACTAGAGTGAGCCTCCGACCTGTTCTGGGCATGCACTAGGCACCTCTTGGGAGCTGCGGACCACTTGGGACCCTACCAGCTTCAGAATCCTCAGGAAGCTCAGGAGACAGGAATTGTCATCCCTGCTTCAAAGCTGAGAACACCGAGCCTCAGAGAAAGCTGTAATCTACACCCCCTTGGTCTTTCCCACCAGCATCTGGTTCTTGTCCTGCTCACATCTGCCTGCACGTGCATTTATGCAAAATCCAGACTCGTACATGTGGCTGTCTGGTCCAGGGGCAGAGATAGGCCTCCTGTACCCCAAGTTTGCCATTGGTGCCATGACCGAAGCCTCTCTGTGCCCCAATTTCCTCCTCTGTGCAGTGGGGCTCTTCACAGCTCCATGACAGAGGGCTCTGGCTGTCCCAGACCAAAAGCCTCCCCCAGAAGGTAGGAGATCAGGTCCTTCGATTCAAATCTCTCTCACCTCCAGGGGCAAACTGAGTATCTCAGAGAGTTACTTAGCTATGAATAGGTAGGAGTTTTTCCTTCCTTCCTAACTTCTCTCTGCTCACCTCACTTTACCCATAAGAGAAAAATGGGACTAATGACAGAATGTACCTCCTAGCATTGGGTTGTGTGAGGAGTAAAGCAATTAGTTCATGCAAAGATCTTAGAATAGTGCACATGCTCAGAAACTATTACTTATTATTGTCTTCCCAGCTGCTGAGTGTGCGCTGATGGAGAGGGGCTGGGAATGACCCCTGGAGGCCCCGATCCCCCCGGGTCTGGCTGCCCACAGGCATGCCCTGAGTGCGGGTGGCCCTGGAGGGGCCGTGGGCACACAACTTACTCATGCTCCCCGTGGAGATACAGAAGCAGCTTGTGGAAGGATAGGTGGCAGTCAGGGGCATCGGTCCGCACTCTGCCAGAGTCACAGACTGCAGAGAGACCCCAACACATCAGGGCATCCTGGGCCACCAGGCAGGACCCATGAGCCACACAGGCCAGACAGGGGTGTGGCCAGCTCTGCACTCCCACCCTGCAAACTTCCCAGGCTGGGCCTTCTTTAGTGACCTCAAAACACACTGTTTACATGTGTTCCCTCCCTGCAGAGGCCAAGCCCCGGGCTAGCCTCCCCCTCCCCGGAGGGAGCTGAGGCTTACTCAGCTGAGTGTTGATCTAGAGATCAATGGCAGAATCGATCTCGAAGTCCACAAACCGATCAATGCTCAACCTACAAAGAGCCAAGGATCAGGACCCTCGCTCTGCCCTACAGTTCAGAGGGCCAGGGATTGGCAGGTCACCTGAAGGCAATGCTCACCCCCAGGCACTTGTGTAGCCATAGTTCAGGGTCCCTGTGAAGACCACAGACACATTTTGAATGGAGATATCGATGGACTTGGCTTCCGCCAGCTCCACCTGGCTTCCAGCAATGGACAGGTGGCTGATCTGGATGCTGGAAGAACAAATGGAAGCTGAGAAGGGAATCCTGGGTCAGGGACAACAGGGGCTTTCTGTCACCTGCCCCAGGAAAACCCTGTCTTGTCCTCCTGTATCTGAGTACACATAGGGAGTCACCCCCACTGACATGGGTCATCCAGGACTCCCAACCAGTGAGTGTGTGATAGAATGACCCCCTGAAATGTCCACACCCAAACCCACAGGAGCGGTGAGCATATTGCCTGACACCAAAGAGGGGATTTTGCTGGGGTGATTCATTAAAGACCTTGAGGCAGGCGGGGAGCTGATCCTGGGCCCCTTGGGTGGACACAAGCATGCTGCAAAGTGGAAGAGGAAAGCAGGGGAGCTGGGAACATGAGACCGGGGGGCAGCCTGGCTGGCCTTGGAGATGGAGCCAGAAGCCAAGGCCTGTGGGCACCTCCAGAGGGTACAGAGGAAAAGGCAAGGGAAGAGACCTCCCCATGTCAGGCTTTTAATCTTTTTCTTTTTTCTTTTTTTTGGGAGGGGTACCGGGGATTGAACTTGGGTCCTTGAGCTTGTGCAGCAGGTGGCGAAACCACTGAGCTAAATCCCCGGCCCTATTAACCTTTTATTGTTTTTGTTTTTTGGTACTGGGGGTTGAACTCCCGACCCTGCGCTTGTGAGGCAGGTGACCAAACCACTGAGCTAAATCCCTGGCCCAGGCTTTTAACCTTTTAAATTGTGCGGTAGTATGTTGTTTGAAGTCACTGGGCTTATAGGAATTGGTTATGGTGGCAAACAGGAAGTGAGTACAGAGGGCTTCTTGAGGGAGGTGACCTGGGATGGGGGTTTAGAGGGTAGGAGTGGCTTGGCTTGGAAGGAGGCCTCAGCAGCCCTGAGTGGCTGCACACATTTCCTGTTTTAGTCCTCACTGCACTCCGAGGCATCACTACTGTTAATTACTGTACCCACTGAGCAGGGACAGGAGCGGCTTAGAGAATTTATGTGGCTTCCAAAGGTCTCTGAATCACTGGGATTCCATCCTGGGTCTTCTCCACCCCAAATCCTGCATTAGAAACCATTGTGATGTGTTGTGACCAGTAATAAGAATCCAAGTCTTCCAAGCCAGGCGTGGTGGTGCACACCTGTAACCCAGCACTTGGGAGGCTGAGGCAGGAGGATGGCCAAGAGCTTGAGGCCAGCCTGGGCTACATAGTGAGTTCGAAGCCAGTCTGAACTATATAACGAGACTCTGACCCCCGCCCCCAAGAATCCAAGTCTTTCCTGTTTTCCCCTCTTCTATTCTGTTCTATTCCTTTGAGAGAAAATAGTATAAAGAATGGTCATTGCACCCATTATCCGGCTTCAATTAATGTGAATCAAGGACTGTCACACATCCCCCCCCATCAGTTTTAGACAATCATTGCACATGACAGATCTATTCTAGGACAGCCTGGTCGTTGGAATTATTGTTGGTTTCTAAGGCATGTTATCTCTGTTAACAAATCCAAGGCACTTCTGCTACCCCTGACCACTTGGGACATAGGTCTAGGTTGTTATTATCCTCATTTTACAGAATGATAAACTGTACCTCAGGTCACACCGAACGCTCCGTGTCACCCGTTGTCCCCCAACCACAGAGGCCTTTCTTACGGAAGGCAAAGCAGCATTCCAGCACTGCGGCGCCCCCTAGTGGCCCTAGGACATACACGGGCTCCTGCGGTAACAGGACCAAGGAATCTTGGCGAAGGCTTCCACCTCTGTGGAGGTCCTTTGGGAGGTGGGAGAGGAGGAGGTTGGTTTTAAGACAAAAATAAGGTCCCCAAACAGTGTCTGCTCCACCGTGGGGCCTCTGACACATATAATGATAGGAACCCAGGCTCCAGGGCAACCTAAGGTGCAGGAAAGTGGCCGTGTTCCAGGAGCCCAGCTCTGTGCTCGGATCTCCCTGCCTGGCTGAGTGACCTCCACACAGTTTAACTTCTCTGAGCTCCTGTTTCCTGACTTGTTAAGTATGATCAAGATAAAATATTGTCTGTAAAGGCGGCTGGCTGTTACGGTCAGTCCAAATCAAGTCAGGAGACCCTTGGGCCAGGAGATCTCTATACCCTGCCTCCCGTGTCCCCGGGGAAGACCCCTCTCCCTGGGGCCTGTTCCCAGCCCTCGGCCCACCCTTCCCCCCGACCCCCAAGGCCAACTTACTTGTGCAGACCGTACTTGACATGGCCAAGCAGCACCATGGCCTTCTCGCCCTTGATGTCGGGGTAGCTGGCCCACCGGAAGGCTGTATGGATCACCTTGGTCGTCTCCTGGCTCACTAGAAGGGAGCCGTGGCCAGGCTCAGCCTCTCTGGCATGAGGCTCCCAGAGGCCTCAGAGCTCAGGGTCACATTGGGCCTCCCTCTGGTTGCAAGTTAATGGCAATTCTCAGGGGACACAGAGAGCCCTGACCCTGGACCCCAGTTGGAGATCCTGCTCACCACTCAGTCTCTGGATCCTGATACACAGGAACCCCACCATCCTGGTCAAAATGATAGCCCCTGAGCCAGCTGCACACTTCCTCTGCCTCATACAGACCATGCTGTGCCCCCCAGTACAACCGAATCTATAACCCTGGGGCTCACTTGAGGCTACTCTGTTAGAGGTCATAGGATTTAGCCTTCCTATTCCCTGTTGTACTGAATAAGAGGCTAAAGCCCAGAGAGGGCTGCAGAGCTGGCCCAGGTCACACAGCAGTGACAAAGTCTCCCTACCCTAGGCTAATGCTGATTCCTGCAACACCAAGTTCACACTAACCTAACCTTTGACACTAGCCTGACCTCTGAACTCCAGATCGACTCTGGATCCCCAGCAAATTCCAACCACTACACTTGGCGGTCTGCAGCCCAGCAAGGGCCTTCTTACCAAAGACCTTGCCCTTGAGGGTGACCCCAGGGAAGAGGCAGAAGAGCCGGGCCAGGGTGGCTCTGTCTGGGCTAAGGTATGGTGACTCAGCCCCAGGGCTGGCTTCTGACCAGGTGGTGCCCTTGAGAAGAGGCCCTGCTGGATGGACAGAGGCCTAGAGAGAGAGGTGGGCTCTGCTGTACTTACACACCAGGAAGGCAGGCTTGGTGATATGGCACACAATGTCTGCCACATACGGGGGGCCCGTGGAGCAGGGGTGGGCACTGCTCAGCAGGGCCAGGCTCAGGAGGGCAGCAGCAAGCATGGTTCTCGGGCAGCAGCCAGTGAGTGGCCCTGGCTGAGCTGCTGAGCTCAATATATTTATCTTCCCAGCGCCCACAAGGCATGAGGCACTTCTGGTCAGCAGGGCCTTTCTGGCCCCAGGGATTCACTTCCTTCCTGCTTGGCCCCCTCTGCCTCCTCTTGAGTTCAGAACTGGGCACTGGACCAGAGTGCATATGCATACACATGCACACAGAGACACACACACACACACACACATGCTCACACACATACTCACTTCCCTTTGACCATCTACGCAGTGTATGCCACCCCTCATATCTGGACAGTAGCACAATATTAGCTAGATTATCTCTAGAATACATCCTTGAATTTGTTCTTTTTCTTCTTACCTAAATAAATGCATCTAAGAATAAACTTTATCTCTCACTTTCCATAAATGAGAGACCAACTACAATGGCCTTGAAATAAAGACTCTATTCTCCCAAATGCTCTTGCGGGAAAATGGCCTCAGCTGGAGGCCTGCAAGTACCTGTCAGTTACAGCCCAAATGAAAGGAAGGGAGCCTCGTGGGGTAGAGACCCAGTGCCAACCTTTCTTTGCTGTCATTGGAACAATCAAACACCCCTCTAGTCTCTCCTGGCTTTCCATGCTATACAAACTGCATCTGTGACACCACCTTACATGCCCCTAGCAGCACATGGCTCACTCCTTGGATGTTCTGCTTTAGAGAACTTTGCATTTAGCCTCCCCATGCCCTCATTGTCTTGAGCAAGAGGTTGAGGTTCTAAGAGGACAGTGGAACTGGGCAAGTTCACACAGCAATCAGGGACAGAGCATCTCCAACCTAGGCTCTAATTTTGGCCCCTGCCTGGGTATTCAGGGCCTGAGACACTGAGCTGCACTCTTGAATCTTTGCCCTCCTCCAGATTCCCATCTCTCCTCCATAGCCTGTCTCTGGGGCAGAATGTGCTGAGGGGGTCTCCTGGTGTGCACCCCAGGCCCCAGTGCCAGCCCCCCTCAAGGCATCACTGTTACTCCAGTTACCTGGAATCAGAATTTTCTAGGTATCTGGAACACTCAGGCCACATGGCTTCCAGAAAGGGGGAGAGGAGAAAGGAGAGAGCACCATGGAGGGAACACCTGCATGACCAGGCTTAGACCATCACTAAGGCCAAGGACAGCCAGGAGGAGGCCAGGGTTCCCTCGGACAGGGGAACACACAGAGGGCAGTGACAGGTGCAGCTCGGAAGGTCTGGGTGCCTGGTTCTGGGGACAGGGCCAGTGCTGACTGCCCTGTTAGCCCACGTCTCGTGTGCTGACGATGATCACAGCTCTCAGCACCCTTTGTGGGCAGCCCGGCCTGGCTGTCCTCTCTCATTCTGAGTTCTCAGCTGTGCCAACCCCTTGACATGTGGCCTTGTTCACCCTGAGTGAGCTTCCCTGCTGTCTGAGTTCTTGTATTATTCACACTGTTTTCAAAAATATGAAACAAGAGCCTCACAACAGAGACGAAGAGGAAAGGAAATGGGGTCGTTGGCTGGGCCTCCCCTTCTAAAGCCATCTGTTGGGGGTGCTGCGGTGGGGAAAGCCTTCTGCTCCTCTGTGCATTCATTCAATCTTCAGACATTTCCTGAGCACCCCTCACATGCTGGGCAGGGACCCAGAGGTGGAAACAAGACAGCCTGTCCTCCCACAGGCCATTTTCTAGCGGAGCACAGATGTGGATGAAGCATGTACGCCCTGTCTCATCTCCGCCTGCTGGCACCAGGAAGCCACAGGAATATTTTCTGAATAACAACTCCCAATTGTCATTGAGGGTTTTTTTGTTTGGGGGGTTTTTTTTTGGTACCAGGGATCGAACTCAGGTCCTTGCACTTGTGCAGCAGGCGGTGAAACCACTGAGCTAAATCCCTGGCCCTGGTCATTGAGTTTTTACTCTGGGCCTGGTAGCCTGTGAACATCCAGAGCCAGGACCATGGCTAAGGTGAGTCTTCACATAGTAGGCTCTTGGCACATAGCAAGTGGACAACAAATGCCTGTCGAATGGAATGTGAGATGCCCACAGATCTCAGGAGCTCACAGCAGATGGTCCCAAAGGAAGGCCAAGGAACTGGCAGGCCAGAGTGGGCTCGCTCAGCCCTTCTCAGGGATCACCCCTGGCCCCATATTTGCTCCCAGTTAGGGCCTATGCTGCCCAGAAGCATACACAGAGCAGGGCTGAGCCCCGCACTTTCCTGAGGCTCAGAGAGGTTAGCCTACTTGCCCTGGGCACCCAGCCCTTGGGGTTTGTACCTCTGCTGAGAGTGGGTGCCCACGGGGCCTCACCACGGCAGGGGCTGCAGGATGCTGGCTTCCCACAGACTGGGCAGGGAGCCACCACTGTTCCAGGACTATGAGGATATCCTGGTGGCTACTGTTCTCCAGCGTATGTTTATATTCCACTCCTGGGGCTGCAGAGGACAATGACTAAGGGTGCCCTGGCTGGTCCCCCACCCTATAGCACAGCCTAGGCCAGGGGCCTGGCACCTGCCACAAGACCCATGGGACCATGGATTACAAACAAAATAAAACAGATAAATGCAACCCCAAGCCCAGAAAGGCCCATCCTTTGAATTTAGGAGCCTGACTCCTATATTCTTAAAATTACTAATCCTAAAAATAACAACTATATTTTCAACTGTATGTACTTTTTTGGGTATGATCTCATTGAATGCTTTTTATTCTTTTTTAATAAGTTTTTCATTATTGTAAAATAAATTGAGCCCTTAGAATTTACCACATTAGCCATTTTAAGGTATACAATTCAGTGGCAGTTAGCACACTTACAGTGTACTGGGTAACCACTGTTCTAATTGCAGAACATTTTCCCCATCCTAAAAGGAAACCTCATGCCACGAAAAGCAGGCACTTCCCATCCTGCCCTCCTGCACAAAAAGCCTTTCTGTCTCTGAGGATTTCCCTCTTCTGGTTCTATTCTGTACCTGGAATCTTATCACAGGCAGTCCTTTGTTGCTGGATGTCTTCATTCACATGTTTTCAAGGACTATCCATGTTGAAGCATGTAACAGTGTTCCCTTCCTTCTTTTTTTTTTTTGGTACTGGGGATCGAACTCAGGTCCTTGCGCTTGTGCAGCAGGTAGTGAAACCACTAAGCTAAATCCCTGGCCCTCCCTTCCTTTTTATGGCTGAATAATATCCCATTTGCTGACTTCTGGCCATTTGGTTTCCTGCCTTACTGAATCTTCTAACTAGCCCCAAGGGCCTCAGTTGCCCCTGCTTTGTGGATTACATAGTGAGGTAAGAGACGTTAAACAACAGACCCAAGGCCACACTGGGGTGAAAAGCTTGGATTAAAACAGCTGAGACCTGGTTCCTTAACTCTCTTGAGAAGACTCCATCCTAGTATTTTAGATAGCTAAGTTATAGGCAGTCCGACAGGGCTGAGCCCTAGAGGGAGTCAGTGCAGAGGATGAGAATATATCACAACTGTAAGGTAAGGGCATAGAGTGGAGCCTCTATGATTGAATCCTGGTGGCTTCAGAACAGGGAGTGACTTCAATGAACTTTGTAAGATTTAAGAGATGGGTCTGTACAATATCTATATGTCAATTAAGCACATAGATTAGAAAATTTTTTAAAAGAGGGAGAAAGACCAGACTGACAGACACATGCACACACATGTGTATGTATACACACACACACACACACACACACACACACACATACACACATTCCCTCTCACCACACAATGTCCTGTATGGCAAGGCCATTATGGGATGCAGACCCTTGACCTCAGACCAGGAAGCGAGCCAAAATAAGCCTATCCTCCTTATACCTTAGTCTGTAATATTGTGTTATTTACAACAGAAAGTGGACATATAGCGATCTCTGGGGCCATGTGCGCCAGGACGAGGGGTCAGCCAGCTGGGACAGGAAGTCCTCCCTCCCAGAGGCCAGGAGAGCCCTGTCCTTCAGCTGGAAGAAGGGGAGGAGCTGTAGCCTCCTGTTTGCATCCAGGCTGAAGGAGGGGCTGGCATTCCAGAGCTGGGTCAACGACCTGGAGGAACACAGGACAGTTCTCTGGCCAGTGCTGAAGTTCAAACGCAAACAGGGTCTCAGGCTCGGAGCTGCTCAAGTACCAAGAGGCAGCAGCTCAAAGGTCCTGGAGTTCTGGGGAGCCTGGTCCACTCGGGGAGTTGAGTGTTAAATTCTCAGGAGTTTTGCAAGCCGGTTATTAAACATAGCTCTTATTAGAAATTTAATTATACACATTACAGTGGAATGCACTCTATTAAAATCAAAAAAGTTAAGGGCCAGGGATTTAGCTCAGTGGTGCTGCACCTGCCTTACAAGTGCAAGGTCTTGAGTTTGATCCCTGGTAACAAAAAACAAAAGAAAACAAAAAAACAAAGTTAAGGGCTGGGGATTTAGCTCAGTGGTTTGCCGCCTGCTGCACAAGTGCAAGGACCCAAGTTCGATCCCTGGTACCAAAAAACAACAACAACAAAAAACCCCAAAGTTAATACTCAACACTTGGCTCTTTCCAATTACTTCACTGCAGTTTATTACTCTCAGTATGGTTGGGGTTGCCAACATCTGCTGTATCTACGGTAGATTGGAAATAGCTATCTAATGGCCTGCCACTGTTCATCCCTTACCAACTCTGTAGTGCCTGCCATCAATCACATTGGTAGCTTGAAACTGACCCCGGAGAAATTGACAAAGGCTACAAATCAGGCTTCCTGCCCCTCTCCCAGGAGCTGCTGGTAATTTTTATCAGCACACCACTGAGGAGGAGTTCCAACACCAGATTTTACCAACCTTCTGCCATGCTTGGCTCTGCCCATTAGCTCAAGACTTCTTCCTCCCTCTCTGCCTCTGGGAAGCTTCCCTGATTTCTTTACTTGGACTCTAAAATTCTTCCTCTTTTATCTATATTCATATAGTTGACTTTGTATTTTAGCTACTTCCTCCAACCTGTGAATATTTTTCCTTAGCTATATTTAAAATTTTTATTACAAATATAATTCATGCTC